TTATCAGAAAGAGTTGGCGCGTACAGACCGAGGGCAGTGATAAAGCCAACCGGCTCCTTATTTAGTTCTGAGTAAAACAAATTTGCCGTTGTAGATAAATGTATTAAATGTTCTTGGATCTGATCAGAGCCACAACAGACCCACAGAACAGTGGTATATACGAAGTAGGACCTGTGTCCAGATTATGAAAAGATACTGCATATTGACTCATTCTATTTTCATTTTCTCGCTACCGCTACTGCAGTGGAGTTATGTTATGCTGCGCGAAAAGAATGCGAATTTTCGGCAGAAAAACTCTTATTACTGGACTCTGGCAACGTAAAAATGAATAAATCCATATGCTAAATTCAGAAAAAATCCTCTAACACGTGGTGCAGCCAGAATCCATGTTTTGTGGGCCCTTAATACCGAAAAATCAATTGACTTCAAAACTTCTGTCCGTTTGTCGGTTTGTCGGTGGAAAACGCTAGCGGATAAGCCGTTTACCCGATTTCTCCAAAATTGATATTCCCCAATCGATCTGCCTGATGTGGCGGCCCTTTGAATAGAAAACAGATATTTTAATTTTGTGTGATATTACATTAAACGCTTGGGATATTTTTCAATTTTTTTAAAAAATGGCTCCAAAGTTTTTGATTAAACTTTGTTATTGGGGAGAGTGAAAGTCCTTTAAGAGAATGGCGTAGGACTCATGTTCGGTAAAAACATGATTTTTCGAAAATTAAAAAAAAATTAAAATATTTTCGTCTTCTTCCTACTACAATTATGAAGATAAACATATTTTCCTCATTAAATGTGTCATCATCAAAAACAGACCTTCAAATAAGATCATGAATCTTTGAAAACATGAGTTGTTTTTTTTGGTGATTTGGTGACGTCACCCGTTCCGAATTTACTGTGCTTCATGAACGTAAAATAAATGGTGATTCCAAGCAGTTGGGTGGATGCTTCGTAAGTTATATTATTTGTATATTATTTTATATTTCTTTATTCGTTTGTTACATTCGAGGTTTTGTAATACGTTTACAAATTAATATTATTGAAATTATTTAAAACATATTATAATTGCACTATTAAATTGAGTTAAATGTGAAATCGAATAGATGACTTCGCTTTGCTTAATAAGATGTGGGAATGAAGAATAATAGATGTAAAAACGTAGTAATTTTGATGGATATAAAAATAATATATTTAATTATTATATTTTCTATCCGTTTTCTTTTCTTGCTAGCGGGATCAACGCTAATTTGCAAAATGTATATCCCATACGAATTAGAGAGCATTGTTGCTTGTTGAAACTCATAGTTGTTACGCCCAACTAAAAACAGAAATGGATAATATGTGCTGCCTTTCGTTCGAGTAATATAAATAATAATTTTATTTACTACTGAAATACCTATCGTACATTGTTGGTAAATTTATGTAGAACGTGAATACACTGAATTTAATGACATAAATCTGTTTTCGTTTAAGCATTTGAATTAAAAAATGTATGTATATTTCACACTTCGTTTGTTTAAGAATTTTTCAAATGGTAATTGAAGTGTATGACAGACATTTCCATTTGATAATAGTAACAGTAATAATAATAATAATAATAATAATAATAATAATATTAATACATAATACATAATAATACATAATAACAATAATGACACTAACAATATCTAGAGAAAGTACGAGCTTTTGTAGCATCACTAGTTACTTTCTCCCTACGGATAGTACACAGAAAAATAAGTAATGCTTTAATCATTTCCATTTATTGTAACAATTTATACATCATAACTTATTAGTTTATTATACTTTTTTAAATTTAATTTTAAATATTTTAATGATTGAAAACAAGACTGAATTAAAAATTTATTTCAGCAAACGTTGAAAAATGTTAATAAATATCAACATTACATAATAGTAAACTATGTCACCCCTCCCCCTCTAAAACGCCTCATTTTAACGCTGCCCCCAACCCCCTCCCCACTTTTTATCGTTAATTTATGGACAATCCCTTAGTTGCATTTTTCGGATCACATCGAGCAATATGCGAGACATTTCGATTCCTCATGAAGATCGTTTCATAAACACATCGGAGAGCTGGGCGTTCCAAGATGTTATGATGGCACGGAGTCATTAGAACTGCCCTCGAAGAACGAAACCCTCGTGCTCCTGCATAACACTCGCTCACCGGAATAACAGGAGTGGCACGCCTTCGCAACATCATAGCGCTGCCACCTAGAAGAGGACACCAGCGCGCCGAGTCGGCTGCAACCGAGAATGCTAACGATAATCTACATTCAATAATGGCCAATATCGAGAACGAACGATACCTTTACTAAGGCCGTTACCGGGGAGTAACCCCCCCCCACGCGTCGGAGAATAAAAAGGCAACGATAGAAAACTAAATCTGGAGGCGTATTATTTATTCCACATTTAAAGGAAGGGATGTCTGAATTATGTGTACAAACTATTACAGCATGTTCTACTGTTGAACCAAATAAAAATTCGATCGGCAATCGACAAGGCACAATGCAATCCTGTGCATAGTACAATTGAAACAGCGCAAGCGCGCGAAAGTGATGCCATTGTTAAAATTAATTAAATGTCCTTTTTTGTAAGAGAGATGTTTCATTGTGCTTATTACAACGATGCCATTCTGCAACTACCATGAAAATGCGTACAGAACATGGCTCCGCCGATATTGCCAAGAATGAGCGGCTCGGACAGTCGATGCTTGACTGCTGCGCTCGGATTCCAGCCAGCCAACGAGCGCGCCCGCCCTCCGAGACCGCGGAAGCCAGCCCCCTCGCGCCGCGCCGACGGTTGTGGCGCCAGGAAGAAGTCAGAAGGCAGGACCCATTAAACACGGGGTACTGCTTTCAAAATGTAATGTAATTTGTATTCAATTAACGAGAAACTACAAGAAAAAAGTGCTAAGCATTATCGGACGATGCAGGGTCGTATTTTGAGGAATGGATTCAGGGGTTCCGAAACGAATATCGCCTCAGCATAGAAAAACAATAAACAGTTGTGGGAAAACAAAATTCTTTTTTGAGAAATACTAATGTTATCGTTTATTTGATTTATAGACAGGATCGACAGTTATATGAAAATGCAGTAAATCACTCCATTATACAACAGAAAAGATGGGAGAATAAAGCGTCCTGCTTTCTTCACATAGGGCCGCCCCAGACATTATAATAATTAATGAAGTTGGGGAGATCCCTACAAAATCTGCACGGGGGGCAAACCTAATGGCAGCACAACCACCTTGCAGTCTTGCACCGTAGCATCGATAGTGGCACAGCTTTCAACGTCACTCAGTGCATCATAGTACCTAGCAACCGTGTATCCTAGCAACGAGATACCCGTATATCGGTAACAACTCGGTTAACCAGACTCTCTCAGCTCGCGTCTCTATACACTACTTGTACGCTGTCAGCGTTTCAGTACATACTGAATTCTGTGATTCTATTATTCATAAGAATAATAGAATCGTCGGATTGATCGATTACTAGTAATTCCAAGAACGTCAACTGCTAAGGTCAAAAATATAGTATTTAACCATCCTAAACTTGTAACAAACAAACTAATTTAAATATAACACACAAGGAGCTATTAAAATAATTAGTTTAATGGTTACGCAAGAAAGTAATTTAATGTTACGTTCGGTACGTGACACCGTCAAATGCGTGTATAGTATTACCTCAAACCGTGAACCAGTCCAACCGCTTGAACTCTTTTTCCTGGGAATAGTATTCGCAAACGGAGGCTTCCTGCGTTCAAGCCGCTCATTGCATCTCGACCTCCAATTGGCAAATTGCCCCCCTCGGCACATCAGCAGCACACGTCCGTTATTCGATTACAAATATATCCCGGATTTGGTTGAAAACCGCTGGACATTTATTCCTCAAAAAAGTGCAGATACAGCATTCGCAAGTGGCAACCAGTCTTCCCTATTGCACTTGCTAAATAACGTAAGTTGTGTCTTGGAGGAATGCAAATCACGTCCTGAATATTTCAATGAACGACAGATGACATGACGTGCGTCACTGATTAATAAGAGATTTATGAAGAGGAAACATACGTATTTTGGATCAAAAAATTAATTATTCGTAAACTATTATTTGTTATGACAACGGTGTAATAACACTAATTAGAAATTACGCAAAATGTATGATCCAGGAAAGTGTTCAGAAATCTGTTGCGAACTGACTCTTCGTAGGGCGGGAAAGATATATCTACCCAAACGGTTGAAGTGAAAGGCTTTTTCCCACAAGAAGGTTCTTCACTTGGGTTCCAGCTGTCATGGGCGCACCACATTAAAGAGTTTCTTTGCAAAGTGACGTGTCGCCACGAATTACTATTTTTCAAGAAGGAAACATTCTCACATTCAATCTTGAAATTCGAGATAGAATTCTACGTTTTAGGGATACCCTCTAGCGTAGGAGAAATGCAACTTATAAACCCAATATTTAGCACCATGTTGTAGAAGCATCTTCAGAATATATTGACACTTCAAACTAGTAAACAATCAGAAAAGAAGATACGAAACTTATAAATAATCTCTCCAATTTTCTTTAGGTAAATTAAGCTTAAGTCAAACTTTCATGTCGCTTTGCTTGAACGGCACTTAGTGAGATTTGGTTTTCCACACGTGAAACAAATTTCAGAATTTACCGGTCAAAGTTTGTCAGTTTAAGTATAATGGAAGCTTTTTTTCCACTGAATACTTAATCTCCACGTAGTGACCATGTTTCTATGTAACTTTATTAAATGATCGAAATCGATGATGTATGCCTTGAACAATTTAGGAACTCAGAATTGTATACGATGATTTATGCTTCGAACAATTTAAATACTACTCAGAATTCAGTATATTGTTTAAAAATATACGAGCAAGATTCTATGAAAAATTGCTTGCATTTTTTCTTCAGTACGTAGACAATCTTTCGAATGTCCCCTCAGACAACGCCACCGCCTGCAGCCGCGTGCGGGGTGCTTACTTGTGTGTCGCGGCGACGAAGGTGCTGGAGTCTCACGCCGCCTATCCTAGCTCTGACCCAGGGCCGCCTCCAGCGTTCACTGGCGAACAGTTGGCGCGGCGCTTGGAATAAGTGGAAGCCCCCCTCTCTCCCCTGCCCGCGCTACATCGCCCAGCCGACCCACTCCGCTCCACTCCGCTCCGCAGCGCTAGACGCTCGCGGGCTGCGGTGACAAAGCAGATAAAAAGGGCGGCTGCGAAACAACATCCACGGCCAAGTTATCAACGCTGGGCAGTGAGAGTGCGGTTTTCAAACAAACGCAAGGGATCTTGAGCGCTTTAGCCCAATTATCGCCGATCCTAAACTCTTTAATCCGAGTTCGCGATAAGTCATCGAGATGTTCGACATGACGATTTGAAGTGACCTGACAAAGAGGCTCTTATCTAGAATGGTGTATTGGCTAGAATCATGAATAGTGTAGAGGCTCTTATCTAGAATAGTGTATTGATTATTTCGTGTTTCCGGGCACGTCAACAGCTAGGTCAGTAGCCCGTAAGTGTGGTACGTGTCTTTTTCACGAGAGGTGATGGTGTTCTTTCCCCGCTGAATGGCGATATCCGGCTCCGACCTGTATGTGGCCCTAGTGGTTCTTCCTACTCGTGGCTAGTGGTGTACCTTCTCAACCACATATCACCCACCACCACCATACCATTCTAGCCGGAACAAGCTCGGAACTCACGACAGATCTCCCGACACGTGTGATAGTATACTGCATGTGCGTGTAAATGTGTGAAAGTAAGAGGACAAATAAGAGAGAGGACATATGCAAGCAGTCCGGGCCCATTTGTTAGGATACTGCTCCGGCATTCGCCTGATGACGGAAAAGTACCGATCAGAGCAGCCGGCCGCTAGAATTCTCCTCCACTCAGCGGATGGATTCGATCTAGTTATCGAACTAGTGTCGAAAGTTCTGAAACCGTCCGGGCTCGAACACTAAGTCTTCCTGGTCAGAGGCATTGCAGTGACATCAATTGGTGCCCTGAACCACCTAAGTCAGTAAATTGCTCTGAGGGACTGCTCGGGGAAGTTAGTGCTAACGTTTACTTCGTTGATCCCCCTCCCAAGCAAAATCTTAGATTGTCTCCTAAAAACAAACTAAACCAGTGGCGTCTCCTGCTCAGTGAGCAAGGGGATGCGATCAGTTTCACGGATTGAATAAGGTAGACCAATTAAGGCATTTAATCGTCATCGTACTATATGTTTATGTATTCCATATTACGATATACATACCTACTGTACGGTCTTTGAGAATTGCTTATTTTGTGGTGCTTGCTCTGTGAGTAACAATCAAAACAATACAAAAAAGTACATAGAAACATGAACAATACACCTAATTGTTTATTGAGATCACGTACTAGATCAGGGCAGTTGGCAATCATGAGTATGCATGCGTGTGTAATGTGGTGGATTATCCCCCCCCCCAACCCTCTATGAAGTCCACAATCGTGATACCAATTCGTGACCAATGGGGTTTCCAGTCCTACTGAAAGAAGAGAGGTGCTCAAAGGAGGCAATAACGAAGCTTTGGGAGGGGGATACGGAAGAATGCGCCAATGAAAAGTCCCAGATGCGACAGCTAGCCTCGCATCAAAGTCGGCCGAAAGCTCACGTTTTCCATACAGCTCCTAGTGAGAGCCCAATGACCTCCGTAACGAAGCAAAGCCGTCGAAGGCATGTTTCTTGGCCTGTCACAGCCACGGTCACAGACGCCTACCAGAAAGCGCATGGGGAAAAACAAAAGGAACAGAAAGATATACTTTGGACAAATGGAAGAGAAATTCAAATGTAACAGAGAGATATACTTTAGGAGTAAAAAAACACTTTTTACAAAAAATTTAAAAGGTCCGAAAAAGTTGGGGATCCAACACATCACTCTCATCCATTAAGCCTACGTCACTGAACTGTAAAACTTGTTCTCAGAATCACAGCATGTTAGTAGAAAACAGGAATATCTTCACTTCTTGTTTGCGGTTTTCTTTTTGTGTTATTTTCTACACTCCGAATACAGGTTAATAAGTTTTTGCGAGCAATGCTGATTAGCTCTTGTCGGTATCTTTCTTTCCCTCAAATTATTATGCACGCACGAACACCAAGTTCAGCACTTGCACTCATCGTTGCCACGTAAAATAAAACTTCAAGCACTTGTTTATTTGATGATAACACTACAGAACACGATTTTTACCTCCAGTAAGGTTCCCTAGTGTACTTTGTGTCCAGCTATTTGGTGTTTTATATCTCCTATTAAAATTTCACGATCCCTGGCACTGCGTAGTCCCCGTGCACTACAACATTATGTTAGATAAGCGGACGTAAACACGATCGATTACAATTCACGTACTATTAGACTCGATCCTGACTCAACGCTGGGTGATAGGTATGGACTTGCTCGTCATACGAGTTCGCGGTCGTCGGCATGTGTTAGAATGCTCGAATCTCAACAAAATGTTGTGTAGGAATACTTCAAGGCCATTCCAACAAAATTGGGGGGTGAGCATTGAAAAATTTCGAAGTCTCGAAAATGAGGGGCATCCTAATGTTCAGCGATTTGCAATTGCCTCACATTTCAGTTGTCATGGCAGGCATCCGCTGGTGTTGTGTAGTTTCTTTCAAAAAGAAACCCCCGTGGGGAGGGGGGTCAAATAAAATGTTTTTATAAAGAGAATGGAGATGAATGTTTTTCTCCGTGAGGGTTGATTCATTTTTTCCTAAGAAAAGAAAGTTTGTAATTGTGCGAAAAAGGGTGTAAATCTGGTACCTATACGTATATAGTAATTTACTTCCTCTATAACGATGTGTAGTTAGGATCCATTTTTTGGTTATTGATAGGGCAGAATGTAGTAATACGGGTCCACAATTTTATTTTGACTCTGATCGATCATATCCCAGAAATTATACACTTAAGAATTAATTGCTATAATAATAACAGTTTTTTATTATCAGTGCGGTGTTGTCAAAGCAACCGTGACCACTGTTTTCTTATGGCACTCTTGATATCGCTTGTAACAAAATGAAAGTAAATAGAAAAATAGTGGTGCTACAAGAGCACCTACTTTCTCGCGATATTGTTAATGACTATGAAATGTTATATTATGACAATTGAATATTTCTGACTTACACATCAATTAGAATTTGAAAAATTCATAAAAAAAACAAAAATACATTTTTTAAATTCAAACGTTTAAACGAAAAGAGCTTTCTGCCATTTGCCCATTTTAGCCGTAAATAAAATTATTAGTTTACATTAATATAAGGTCATAAGTTCGTTAGGTCGACCTTAGTGAAGTACCCTCAGAAAGTACTTGAAATGAAAGCAAAATCTCTGTTCTTCAAGATGGTAATAGAAAATGGGCTTTAGCAGCCTAATTTTTGAATAACAGAAGTTTAAATTAGTATAGGCACTTATGAAAAATCTTTGATATTTCATATATATTAAATGATGATATAAATATGATTTTTTTATCGAAGAAGCCATACGACAAAAGAATTTTGTTTCTTTTAATCAACACGGAGTAAACTTTTTAAGAATCATATGGTATTAAATGAAACGCACCTCAACGGTCATTCTAAGGAGTAATTGACAAAATACTGCGGCGAAATTCAGCGCAACCGAAAGTATTGGCTCTCGACCTTGGAGTTATGCTGTACAAATCAAGCTATTGTCAACATTGTTTCTCTTGGGATAGATTAAACCATCCTAACTTAAAATTTTGTACCACACACAATCCCAAACATTTCGACGTAATCACTTTCAATTTAAACAATGTAAACTAATAATAAACGCAGAAAGAAAAGTACTGACACCAATGTAAACCTAACTTATATTAGGTATTGCCAACTTGTGAAAATGAAAAATCATGCACGAGAATAAATTCATTAGAACACATTATTTTTCAAGAGCAACCATTCAATATTTCTCTTTTAACTTGTACTTGTAAATGATTACTTAAATGCTCCGTTCCCGATTATCAGCAGCTATTGTTAATATGTAGATTAATACACAAATGTAATTTTAATTAATGTATTTAAATTATTTAATTAATTCAATTAAAATGTAATTTTTGACATGTCCCTCATATTGTTAATATTTACATTAGCGGCGATTGGCTTACTTTATTTATTAATGATGTGTGCCATAAATAATATTGTATAACGTTTCTCAAAAACATCATTTTCTGTGAAAACTAGCTCAAAACGCTCAAACTCCATAATCTGTTCAATGACATAAAGTTCATTTTGTTCTTTTTTGTTTGTTTTCAAAATTTAAACAAATGTAATTTTTTTGAAAATTTCTCACGCCGCTTATATGCACATTTCCACTAATTTGCAAACACTATTGTACTTATGTGTTCAACTTCTTGAAATGATATCAGTTGACGTTCTTTTGGAACCTCAAAAATTTTATGTGAAGAGGAGCTTCAAATTTCAAATTTAAGTAGCACCTAAACGCCGTTTTCATAAAAACGGCTACAAAGTTTTCAAAGAAAATTGCCATTTATGGTGTTTTTTGCTGTTATTTCATGTTCTTAAAATAATATTTTCGTTCTACTATTAAGAAACCGAAAAATAGAAAACATTTCAAAAAACTATACTTTGGGGGGGGGTAATAGATGGCAGCTGGCAAGAGTATGTGACAAGTCCGAATAGCTAGTGGAGACGAAGAAAATAAAAAAGTAATGCGGAAAAGTCTGTGCCATTCTGTAGCACTACTAGTTTTAAAATGTATTAGAGAAATTTATTTTTTAGAAAAATTTATTGAGCTATTTTTGAGAAAACATTTTTTTTAGAAATTGCTTTAATTTCAAGCGTAAATTACGCAAAAAGTACATTTTAAAAAAAAATGAACATGACCTTTTTCAAAGAGCTGCTGTTCTACATAAACAGAATTTTGTCTGATGCCAAAATCTCTGTCTTCAATTTTGTAGTTTTAAAATTCTAACTTTTTGCAATTATTGAAAAAACGACCGATACCCCAAAATGATACTAACACCATATTTTTACCGTTTAATTGCATGTGAGGAGGAATTTTAATGAAGAAATGGAAA